TTATGATTTAGTTTTTTTTTTTTTTTTTTTTTTTTTTAAAAAGAGGCAGTTACTTGTGTTTGTGGAGTTCAAAGACTGAGAGAGAGGATGATGATGTCATTATACTTTTATGTAATTATAGCCTACATCATTTTAATAAGCAGGGGGATTATACTGAGCAAACTTGAGATACTTAATCAATGACACATAAAAAAGTTATGTTACTAATAAACTAATTACATTATTACTTGATTGTTATAAAAAGTAATATTTAAATAAATATTTACAGGACTTAATTTTTGTGTTCCTCGGATAGGCTACTGATTTTAATGGCAAGGCTCGAGATTGTATTTATTTTTTTCCAGAATTTCTGAATTTGACAATTAAATAAATGGCATTAAAGCGCCGTTTTCTGTACATTCACAGTATATGTGTATTCTAGCTTCGCCAACTAAAACTATTTTAAAGCAGAATATGAGTTGGGAATCTGCGGACGAGAGGAGTTCATGTGACGCCACGTCTGTTCCCTGGAGATCGGCGGAGGAGGAGTGAGGAGCGAGTGCGCAGGATGCTGAGCTGAACAGCTGATTCTGTGCATTTATCCAGTATGGGCAGCTCCATTCCGCTAACCTAGCATCTATTGCAGTATATAAAGGGAATCATTTTCACTAACGCTGCAAAGGAAAACGCACCAGCCTCACAATGGAGCGTGTTCTTCATTCATCTGGCCGGACACGGGAAGAGTACCGGTACCAAACGGCACGTCCTTCATCACAGCTCACCTCAAAGTCTGCCTTCAGCTTTGGGTCCACAGCACCGCTGAGAGGTAATGCAATCCTTAGTGAATTCGCCGCTAAACCGGCAGAAAGCTTCGATTTTTCAAACAAATATGCAGGTGGACAGAATCTGAGGAAAATTAGTGAGAAAGAATTACTGCAGGGGCTCAATGACCGCTTCGCGGGATTCATCGAGAAGGTTCATCACCTGGAAAACCAAAACAGGGCGCTAGAGAAAGAAATTGAGGCCATTAGACAGAGAGCAAACTCCTCTGCCTCTCTGTCCAAAGAGTATGAATCAGAATTTAGTAGTCTGAGGCAGCAAGTTCGTGAGATAGGCCTTCAAAAGCATCAAATTGAGATAAACCGCCAGAACCTGGAGGAAGAGTTGAACACTTTGAGAGAAAAGTATGAGAGAGAGGCTCGTGGTCGAGGTGATGCAGAGGACAGCATTTCAGTACTAAAGAATTGCATCAATGACGCATACCTAGCCAAACAAGAGATGGACAGAAAAGCTAAAGCTCTGGAAGAGGAGATAAGCTTCTTGAAGAAAAACCATGAAAGCGAGGTAGCCGAAATGATGGCCCAAGTCCAAGAGGGTCATGTGACAGCAGAAATAAGTGACTTTAGTAGAAGTGATGTCACTGCAGCTCTGAGAGACATCAGGATGCAACTCGAAGGTCGCACGGACTCTGACATCCGAGATGCTGAGGAACGCTTTCGAGCGCAGCTCGCTAAACTGACCAAAGCTGCTGAGGTCAACAGAGAAGCCCTCATGGCCACTAAAGCAGAGATTAATGAACACAGGAGACAGCTCCAGTCCAAGAACATTGAGCTCGACTCTGTGAAAGGTGTGAGGGAAGCGCTGGAGAGGCAGCTGTATGACCTCGAGCAACGGCACAATGCTGAAATCCATCACTACCAGGTAACACACCATGTCATGCACTGTTCAGTCTAGAATATTTTTCTATTGATTGCACAGTTCTGTTTAAACCAATTGATTGCACAGTTCTGTTTAAATCAAGATAAAGTAGCAAGTTGAGCACGATACCGCAATTCTCAACATTCAGTACCATGTCATGTGGCTTTTTTTCATAATGCAATCCACGATGCAGGACACAATCAGAGAGTTGGAGTTTGAGCTGAAAAATGCCAAATATGACACGAGCAGTCATCTGAGGGAGTACCAGGACCTTCTCAATGTCAAAATGGCACTGGATGCTGAAATTTATTCCTACAGGTACTTCTTTGATTTAAAAAAATTTTTTGTAACCATTTTATTTCAAACTATTTACTACGCACTATTTTGTAAACCGTTTTACTGTTGACTTCATGGTGAACTTCTCAGGACCAGCAAAGCCTTCTTAACAGGTCTCAAAAAAAATCTCTTTTATCTTTATTTGATGATGTATTATTGGTCGCTTTCCATACCTGATTGTGTTGGCTTGGCAAGTAGTGTTTATCCATCCAGAATTTATTTCTTGCGAGTCCCCCAACAGTGCGAATAAATAGATTGTGCTCAATCAGCCAACCAAACTGCCTGGAATGTGTAGTCTTGTAGATATATCATTGCACATGCCTTCAAGGAACACAATCATGTATTAAGTGGCATAAATAATTACAGAGTGAACAAAGCTTGAGATGTTCTACATGACTGTCATATTTATTAAACAGGACAGTTAGGCTAATTTTAACTTCAAATAATCATTACTAAGTGCTTTTGATGCTAGCTAATTTGTTGATTGATTACAATGAGTTTAAGTTTTAAAAGAATTGAGTCATTTCATGATTTGGTTGGTGGCTTTCATGTCTATTTAGGCTTGTGGGAGTTTTTGAAATGTCAGTAGCCTCTGCATTAAGAAAAGATAAATAAGACACATTTTTTTACATTCATTACAGCCAAATTATAGTTTTACTGTAATTTGGCTGTGACTGCACTGTAATGAATGTTGTCAAAAATGTGTCATATTTACAGGCCAGGTTTCACAGACAAGGGTTAGATTAGGCCAGGGCTAGGTTATTGTTCGATTAGGACACTTAAATTGCTTTTATAAATGTGCCTTAGGAAAAAAAACAACATCACTGGTGTGCACCTTGAGGCAAACCAATGGCACTGACATATTTTAAGATATGTCAGTGCAAGTTTCTTTCAGTGAATACAGCTCAGACATGCATTTTAGTCTGGGGCTAGGCTTAAGTCTTGTCTGTGAAACCAGGGCATAGTTTCTTATGCCGAGTTCACACTGCATGATTTTAGCCCGATTTTTCAATTGCCAACAGGTTTTGCGAAATCGCCGACAAATGCCCGAAATCGGAGGCAGATCGGTGCTCGTTCACGCGAGTGACAATCACACAGTGTGAATTATCAAAAACACGACC